CCTACATTTCTTACCTGGCAAGGCTGGTGGGGTAAGAGGAAGAGCTTGAGAAAGCATCACTGGGCCTGTGCATCGCCAAGTTGTCCCCAACACCTGGGCCTCTGTTCCAGGGCCCACCAATGGGTGTTAATGGGAGATACAGGCTGGACACTGGCTTCTGATCCTTCTGCTGCTGAGCTTCATTGCTGCTGGGGTTGACTCCAAAGTGGAAGCTTTGTCCTCCTGAAGTGCTGACCCCACAGATGGAGATGGGGTTAGAGTTGGACATGTCTGTGGAGGACCTGTCACTCATTTGGCAATAACTCTGACCTGCAGACATCTTCTCCTGTTTGATCACACCTTGGGTGCAGAGCTGAATGAAGCCAGCATCTTTTTCTTTCTTCACCAATGCAGACAAAGTGGTTGTAGGGGTTAAGGAGGTAGTTGTGGATACGCTGGAGATGGACTGATCTGGACTGCCATTGAGAGCAACAGAGACTGCTGCGCTACGGTTAATGTCCTCAACCACGGCGGCCTTTATGTCCTTTTCTGAGCTAACATCCCCAAGCATTGAATCATCTGCCAGAGAAGACAGGAAGGCATCATCCCCTACATAGAAATCTGAGGGGGACCCAGTCAGCTCGAAATCTTGGAGCAGGTCCAGAGTGTTGTCACTAAACAATTTCTGGTTCACGTCCACATCTTCTCAATGTGCTCAAAGGCATGATCAAGGTCAATGGGGTCCTGGTCTCCTTTTTCCATGGAGAAATCCTCTGTTCTCATGGGAAAGAAGTTGGGATCTGATCCCCCAATAAGTGAATCCATGGAGGACTGAGTAATGTCCGCTATACTGGCCTCCAACTGGGCCAAATTGTCCCTCAAGGTTTGACGCTCAAACGTAGCGGAAGTCTGTGTCTGGAGTAACTGCTGCTGAAGCCTCTGATCTTTGGTCAGGCCCCTGGGTTCTGGGTCTTCCAACAAGGGGCCTACAAAGGCAGTGACAGAGGTGGAGGTGAGCTCCTCTGGAAGGGGCTGTTGCTTAGTCCGTTAATAGGCACCTGCCCTGGCTGCATCAATGAGTTGGATGGAAGAACGACAGAGGTGGCAGAGGTGATGGACATTGCACTGTGAGGAGCCACTTTCAGTAGACCTCCCTCCTCCGGGCTTTCAGTGTAGACCAGTTTGCTTAAATGGCCATCTCTTATGTATGTTATCTTCTTCACTCCACCATTATCCATCTTTTTATTGGAGGGGGGAAACAGACAGAGAGCGTTACCGGACAGGCGTAAATAACTTTAGAGTGCACTACAACAACAACATTAAAACACATTTCAAGGCGATTGTCAGACGTCATTTAAAACCAGTGCCGCTACACTGCAAAGTAATTTAAAAAGGTTTCACTTTGTGCACATGCAGACGAACTAACGTGCTCCAAACTAACGAACCTTAGATTAATATACGGTTGGGGAAAGTTGCCATACATGCAACCTCGCGCGCCCTTGATAACTAACGAAGCTAAAGTAAGCTAATGCAGTTAGTTATTTAATTAGCAAAATGTTCACACGAGCGCATAAAAACGTGTCCGTGTTATATCGACTGTACGTAAAGCAAACAGAAATAGCACAGATTCAACCACAAATCAAAAACAGAGAGCCGTGAACTTTACTCAAGTCTAACACGTATGCTAATATTGGCTTATTGCTAAATGTTAGCATGCTATGTAGCTACGTGCCCACATTTCGGTCGAATGTCGTTGACAGCAACGTTAGCATGCTAGCCAACATAGCCCCTAACATTATGGCACATTTGGGGGTAAATGTGCTACGGTGCTGTGTTTGTCTTCAGCTAATACATACAAAGCCAGATCTAAACAAAAGCTCATATTTACCCTTGAAATGCCTGATTGTTGTTAAGTGTCCACAGGTCGTCTGTCAACATTGTTTTGGTTGAAAGTGGCAGTCCACAACACGCAACACTGACTCAATGTTAGTTAACGCTAACGTTACTCCTCACGCGTCGTATCCTACATACATGGCTTGATCAAAACGACAAAAACACACCGAGCTGGGTGTTAATGAATGGTCCCTCTTCTACTTCGACCCAGCTGTACACTGTCACACAAACTGCGTTGAACTGGCTGAGCTACGGTGATTCGCAGCTAGCCATTAGGAAAGTAGGCGCTAACCTTTCAAGAAAAACATACAAAATGGAGAACTGAGCAAGCCAGGCCCATGGCAAAACTGTTTACGACATGCAGCGCCACCTGCTGGCCGCGCCCGGTAACTGCAGCTTGTTATGTTCTGGAGTTCAAGATAAAAACAACGACAAAAAAAGGCAGCTAAAAGTAAACATAGAACAAAAGTTAATATCGTTGTTACTATTATTTCTGTTCATTAATATCTTGATACGAAAGTGAGCAATTGTAAGAGTTTCCCTTCGGGGACCAATTAAGTATTTCTGATTTATCAGAATCAGAATCAGTTTTATTGCCAGGTATGTGTACACATACGAGGAATTTGACTCAGGATTGTACATTGCTCACGATGTGCTTACTTATACAATAATAAAATAATACTATAATAATAAATAAAATCAGACACAAACTACAGAGTAGACAACACTAATATACACACTATGAACAAAACAATATAGACATATTGACAAATAGTGCAGTAATCAGAGTGCAAAGGATGCAAGAGTAAACTATTCTCATTATGTACATGTTGAAGGTGGATATGATGTACAGGTACACATGTACACAGTGTGATGGAGCATAGTGCAAAGGATGCTGGGAAAAAAAATAAGACCTATGACCTTATGACCTGAGGTAGGTGTATTGGTATACAGTATATACAATATGACATAGTACGAACATAGTATGAGCAGCACTGAAATAGAGAATGGTGAATAAATAAATAATAAGTGGAAACCAGTAAACAGGTGCTGATTAGAGGCAGAGTTACTGGGTTATTGCACAGGAATTGTTCCTGACACTGTGAGTCAGAAATCAGCTGTTCATCAGTGATGGTTTGTGGGAAGAAACTGTTCCTGAGTCTGTTGGTTTTGGCGTACAGTGCTCTGTAGCGCCTACCAGAGGGGAGGAGCTGGAACAGGTTGTGTCCGGGGTGAGATGGATCTGCAGTGATGTTTCCTGCCTGTTTCCTGACTCTGGAAATGTCCCGAAAAGTCCCGAATGGAGGGCAGGTTGGCACCGATTATTTTTTCTGCAGTCCTGACTGTACGTTGTAGTCTGTCCCTGTCGTTTTTGGTGGCAGATCCAAACCAGACAGTGATGGAGGTACAGAGGACAGACTGGATGATGGCTGTGTAGAAGTGGATCAGCAGCTCCTTAGGCAGGTTGAGCTTATTGAGCTGATGCAGGAAGTACATCCTCTGCTGGGCCTTCTTGATCATGGTGTCAGTGTTGGGCTCCCACTTAAGGTCCTGGGATATGGTGGAACCCAGAAACCTGAAGGATTCCACAGCAGACACAGGACTGTTGAGTGTGGTGATGGGGGGCAGAGTGGGGGGGTCCTTCTGAA